GTGTCCTGTAACATATGAGGCTGGCCGCAAATTCATGGCACTCCTTTTGCCTTGGTCTCCCAAGTATTGGGATTACAGATATAAGCTACCATACTTAGCAATACTAATGTTTTAAATTAAATTAAAATGAAGCACATGGATATATTTATAAGCAAATATAAAGAAATATCTGACATGTACTAAGAGAATTTATAACATTTTAAAATTCTGACAAGAAAAATACTCCACTTAAATATTTTTGAGAGAATTAAGACAATCATAAGTGTGGATTTTAAATCTAGATGAACAATTTAATGTGTCATCTTGCTTTAAAATTATCTTAATAATGATGTTATATCATTATTAAACATATCAGTTTGTCATATAAGTAATAAAAATGAACTAGGATTCTTCTTTGGGGAGCAGTGGGGTCTTATTTGAGGAATACTATTTATACTGGCCCAAGGCATAAATATAGAATGTCATGCATTCCACCATGGTCCATGCAATCCTAAGCTTTTGGATACAGTTTTAAAAGTAGATTCCCTAATTAACATAATACTAATGAACATTTTTTTTATGTCAGGCTGTAGGGTAAATAACTAACACTCATAATTTCATTTGATCTTCACCATCATATGAAGAAATATTCATTTTATATCAGGGGAGGTCTTTGCTCAAGATCATAATCTCACATAAATGGTGGAATAAAAATTTAATCATTTAAAGTATGAATTTAATTGAAGGTGCCAATTAATGTGTGAGTAGCTTAAAATGCAGCATTCTAAACACTTATTTCATGTTTTGCATGCAATCTTTTAATAAAAAGTACTGAGCTTTCCATAGAAAAGGTTTCTAACTGGATACAAACTATACAGAGACGGTAATACTTTCTACACAGGAATATTTCTGTGTGCTCATATTCTGGCAAAGAAGGTAAATGTCAGAGGCAGAACACTTATGGGGGTGATGAGTTATACCCACAATTTGTGTAAACTATGGACACCATCCCTTGGGCTATGCAGAGGATGCTCTAAACAAATTTTAAAACGCTACACCTAAAACTGCCCCCAAAGTCTAAAATAATGTTATAATTTTAAGGGACTACCTTTAGGATTGAAAAGCAGTTTTGTTTAAGTCTGTATGTAGCTTTCTGCAGTTCTGAGTAGCTGAGCATAGCTATGATTGTTCAGTCTTTTCAGTAGAAAATCCCTTATCATCTGTCAGCATATGTTCTCAGTGTATTATATAACAAATTCCACTAAATAAAATCTTAACCTTCTCTCGTGGTTCATCCTTGAATGTTTTCAGTACATAGGGGATTTTGGTGGATGGGTGGATGGAAGTCTACGAAAAGAATGGGTTTTCAAGGTAAAAGCAAGATGGATTCATTATAGAGAATTTCAAATGAGAATGCCTAGGAAGAAGGAAGGAACAAAACCACATGGCAACTTATGGTCACTAAATGGAGTTGTAAAAACGAGGACACATTTGAAAACAACAATTCCAATTCATAAACTCATAATTCAGGAAAGGACACTGGGGAATTTAGTAATTATTCTATTTGCCTCAAGGTTAGATTGCATGTAAAGACGGAAGTAATTTTTGAGAGCAGGGGTTTGGCTATCACTAAGAGGCTTAGTGGATGAGAATTACAGTAGCTAAGGTGTCAGGTGGCACAACGTATTAAAACTTCTTTCAGTTCTAGAAAGAAGGGGAAAGAAGCAAAAAGGATCTAGATTATAGTGTTAGAATTTAAGGATGGTTTTCACACAGTGATTTTTTTTTATTTTAAGAGAAATCTTTCTCATATTACCTAATACTGTAGGGCATATATATCTTGTTACATTTTGCCATCGTTTGTTCTTCTTCTCTATGTCTTTATGTCTCTGTATCCCTAACTCTCTACTGGGGATTAAACCAAGGGTCTCGCACATACTAGGCAAACATCCTATTCCTGAACTATATCTCCAGCCAGCCCGCTTGCCTTAACTTTTAACATTTTAGAATGCTGGAGCAGAATCTTTAAGTTTTATACAATTTCAGCCAAGTTTTATTTTAAGAAGACTAAGCCTAGATTATGTTAAAAATTTACATAAGTAACTATTTTAAAAGCAAAAGTCTCCTCTGTCCCTACTTATAATTATTTGAGAGAAGCATTTAACCAAAAGAAAATAATTGCACAAAGAATTTGGTATGACATCTGTACAAAAAGCCAAGCATGAGTCCACCTCTGGGCAGCACATCCGAACAATGACTCACAATGACACAGAACACAGAAACATTTTAAAGTACAGCAAGTGGATGGTGCGGCTCCTAGCAGAGAAAAGAAAGTCCCCCCTTAGTTCTGTATACACCACATACATGCAACACTGCACAGGACACAGTAGTGGAATGAGTAAGGATGACAGATTGAGAAGCCAGGCTACCACAAAATGTCACCAAGTATTTAACATTTTAAGACTACACAAAGAGTCTTTATTTTCAAAGGAAGGGAGTGAGGGGCAGAGTCACATTATAAATCTGATTCACTGTGCTCAACAGTCAAAACAACACAGAACTCAACATTCAAGACAAAAACAGACCTTTATTTTCTTTTATAGTTTTCAATTGGTTTCCTTGGTTTTTCTCAGATGAATATCAATTAAGTCTACAGGGCTACTGTTGCAACTGAGAACATGAAAGCACCTTTCTTTTCTTCTGTTTGTTCTCTTCTTCTTCATCTCCTTCACATTTCCCTCCAGGGTTTTCTCTTCTCAAACTTTGCTTTTTCTTCTCTTGGAAGAACTTGCTTTGGAAGATGAGGCAAACACTTGGTGAGGCCTGCTTCCCAACTGAATTTCTTTCAATGTGCCAGCTCAGTCATTGGAAGACTGGCTAAAAACCAGCTCTTTTGCAATTTGAGTGAATGTTTCTGAAAATTGGCAAAGTGTAGAACACATTCAAATAAAAGGAAATATATAGGAACCTTCTGTGATTCCCACTGAGGAAGTGTATCACTGCTGCAATGACATTTTAATTGGCATCTAATTTATTCACGAAATCTGGATCTATGAAGGAATAAAATTTCCCCCAAATTGTATTTACATTTGCAGCAGATAAATTAGGTCTGTGTCAGGTACTCATCAAAAAAGTTTCATTTTCCTAAAGGAGAAAGGGTGTATAAAGTCCCTTTTCTTATATAAAATTTAATTAACTGGTGGATTTGAAGGTCAAAATTAAACAATTAATTTGTATTCTGTGTCAGGGGATGATCATTTCTGGTTGTGCCACACTTGGCAGGAGTGAAAAAAAGATATTCTTTGATGTCATTCATATATATATGAATATGCTATTAGGAATCCAGGAACACACTGAATATCACAATATAGTTCATTGGTCTTCTGCAGGTTACATATGATCGCCCGGTAGTAAAAAGAATAAAGAAAAGCTCAAACAAAAGATTACCTAATGAAAAATACTAGTTTGTTGTAATGTCTTGAAACAACTTATGAGCAGATCATAATGTATTTCTCAATTCTCCAAAACTTTTGGTTAATATATTCTATGCATTTCGGCTCAGTAATTTCTAACTTTTCTTGACTCTACACCCTTACAGGCTAAAACATGTTTGTTGTTCATAATTTACACACATTTATTAGTCTATATTAGTCTACGCTATAAATATAGGCAAAAAAATGATGCTGAAAAGGATGGGATACAAAACTCATGAGGAAATTTCCAGTACTTTCTTCCCGTATGCTAGTGGATTCTCCTTCAAAGGTCTATATTGCGACTTTCCTCTCAGGGAAATTTGTGTTACTCATATTTGCATTTCCCATTCTCTATCTGCCATAATGCCTCAGGCTCTCAACAAATTCAAATGGAGTAATAGATGTCTCTATAAATAAGATGTTCCAAAGAAGATTGCCTATTAGGTGACTGTGTAATGACTGAAAAGTAATTGGTTAATACTGTTCATGCTTCTGTGATGAAAACTAAGGACACTGAAATCTCATTCTTGTCTTCCCATACTCCCTGGCACTGTAATGACGCTGCTAAAGCAGAGTAAAAGGTGGAAACAAAACCAAGAATTGGGCTCTGAAGCAAACAACGGGAAATGGAGTCTTGGTACATGTTTTGGAAGAGAATTCTGTTCTTTTAAAATTGGACAATGATATCCTCATAGAAACAGTTGTTCTTTCTACAACACAGCTGTGCAATGAGCTCCAAGGTTGGGAAAGGTTAAGTTACAAATGGTAGAGAAGGCTAGACATAGTAGTAGTAGTCATCAACCACATCTGAGTGGCATCTCTTCTTATGCAACCAGAAAGCACTTTAAGGCTTCCAGGCTAATCATATCAAGTACGTGGAACACTATTTTTGTCCCAAAGGGCAACTGTCATTTTCACTGAGACCACAGAATCATTTTTATGAATACTAATTTATTATCATGTCACAGAGAACAACTTATTTATATATAAGGTGACAGACTTTTAGTGGATTTGTTATCTTTGTAGGGTTTATACTAAATAAGCAGGGGTTTGCACTACAACTGGAACTGTTTTATAGTTAAGCACTAGCGATTTTAATTCATGCCTTTATATCAATCAATGTGCTATGCCTTGATTTGTAAAACTTGGGAGGAGGGGAAGGCAGCTTGTTATATTAGAAGAAAGCAAAGATTTTACAAGCTAGCTTTTAGTTTTTCCTTTGTAGCCAATTATTTATTTAAAAACTGGAAATAATTTTTCTTTTAGGAAAAGTAACAATATTCCAACATTAATATTAGGCAACAGTTTCTCGGGTGGAAAAATGGATTTTAATGAGCAAAATCCCCTTCACTGAGAGGAACAAGTGATTGGATCTACCTATATTGCTAGGGTTTTCTTTTCTTCTCTTTTTAGATCAGGCAAAGCCCGTACTTATAAGTTAACTATGTTCAGAGGCTATAAGTGTCAGTTCTTCTCCAATTTGCAATTTTTGTAAAATTATGTAGTTTAATAATAACTATATGACAGTGCTGTATTATCAGGGTACAAGAGGTTTTTTTTAATGATGAATATTTCAAATGGCAGAATGTCAGCATCTTTAATACTAATTTACTAATCCCTAAGAAGGAATGGCTGTTTGAAAGACAAACATAGAAATTAATGTCAGAATCCAAATTTACCCACATAGTTTAAATATGTAACCAGTTAAAATGGAAGTTTAAGGCAGAAATTCATAATAGTGACAGCTTCAAAGTAAAGCTAAGGGATATTTTATTTGAAAATTAATACACAGTCACTACACTCATTAATGAGGAAAACTACCTAGAATTCTTCAAATCATAAAGTTTTACTATAATATCAACAGTGAGAATGACCCAAGAGAATTTCATTACTATTAAATGCCAATAAAATAAATTTGACTTATTTCCATGAACCAAGAACCACCATTCTTTAGATATACTTAAAAACACATGAAATGGTTAGAGCACAAAGGCAATTATAAGGCAGATCCATGTGATTTTGATTCACAACACAAACTTCATTTGTGAGAAAGAAGCATAGATTTCTTCTCACTGGAAAAATACTTGCTATCAAGCATACTTAGCAAATATTCAGCTATCTAGAAAGATCTGGTACCAACTGGTAATATTTTTATTTTAAGTAATTTAATATTTTAACAGGTATTAATATTAAGCAATACCACACACTGCAGCAACAGGAAGAAAAACATTTCATAATACAATATTAAATTATTTTTCACTGCACAGTATGAAATATCCAATAATTAGCATTGAAATCATTACAGTGTATCTTATCCAACTAAAGGAAATTTCACATCTACCACAGAAGAAAAATAAGCAATAATGAGCCACAGGGGACCCAGTTACATAGTATTAAATAATATCTGAAGCTTGTTTGAAAGACATCCAGACAAAATATTTTTTCAAATATGGAAAACCATAGCCTACAGATTTGGATTATTTTACAGAAAAAGGATAGCTCATTCCACTTTAAGAGGCAACATCACTTCTATTTAAGTGCCAAGACAAAGGAGAAAGTTAGGATTTTAGCTAAGGAATTGAATAAAGCCTGGCATGAGGAATTTCCTTCATTACTGTCACTGAAAGCAGTCTGCCTTACACCTGAATATGCTTTAATAATAGAATAAACATATTAAGTTTCAGAGCAGGGTGTGTACACCTTGCCTTAATAGATTAACACTTAATTTAGTACAATACAGCATGTCAAGATTTAAAAATGCAAATACACTTAACACAGAATTTGCTTCCACTGCTTTGCCTTAACCAGGCCACCAAGAGTCCATTAAACAGCATTTTCTAATTATCGGTGCTGATCCCTCTCTTCCTGGTGTCAGGCGAACACAACTGAGGTGTCACCATAGAGCCCTTCCCCAGGCAAGACCCTTTACCCTCTGTTCACCCATAGACAGGGCAGTTTTCGGCTACTGTGTTCCATCTTGATTGGTTTGATCTTATGCTAGTCCCACTGTAGAAAGCTCGAATTCTTCTTAAAGAGTGGCCTGCCCCTCATAATATCCCTTTAGGGAGGCCCCAAATCCACAACACTTGATGGTCTAAGCTTTTTACAAGTCTGTTTTCTGTTATAAACAGCAAGGACGAGGCCATTTTAGTTGCTTGCAAGAGGTTGATGTTGAGTCTGCGCCGTGCCGACTCTCTTCGATCTAAATTCTCTAAACATTAGCTTAGCAATCTGTGATTCCAATGGGTTGAGTGCCAACAGAAGTGGATCCGATTTGGCATGGAGAGGTTCTACCAACTCTCGTAGTGTATTAGCCTAATATAATAAAGCAGTGATACAATATGATGAAAGACTTGCGCGTGCCATTATTCCAAAGCACATCAGTATTTGTATTAGAAATACCACCATGCAGTACCCATGAAGAGAAAATAAGGTCTAGAATTGCATATGGTTTTAATACCATAATGTCTTTCTGTTGGCATGCAAGTCTACCTCGCCATAAATGGGACCAGTTTTGATTTAGTTTGTTTGGAACGCCAATCTTCCAGTTACATACAATAACTAACAGACACATCTTTCCCCACCTCTAACTTGTACATATATGTCTATAGTTTGAATCAGAAAAGCCAGCTAAAGTATTCTCCACATACGTGCAAAACCATCAGTCTTTTTTTTCAAATCAAAATGGATTTCTATATGTTTCCTCATTTTTACACAGTCTTAAGGTATGAAGGTTTTTTTTTTGTCTTCCTGCTGTGACATAAAAGCAACTGTTCTGATCCAGAGAAATTGCAATAGCCTAGCTAGCATTGTTCTGGTGAGGAGACCCCAGACTAAATGATACCAAGTGAAAAAAAATGAAAAGCCACAACAAGAAGCATGACAAAAAGATGATTTTACATCTGAGCATTAGCCACACATCAAGGAGTTTATAAACTGGAAGAGAACAACACTTTTGAATGACTGGAAAAGCGGAGCAGAGTTCAGAAAAACTAACAACTCTCTTCATTTTATTTTTCATCTTCAGGAATCCAAATATTGTCGGTAGGTACACATTGGCAATATTTGTCATCACTAGTATAAGGCAGAATTTTGTCTGCCGCACCCTATCATATTTTTGGTTATATCCCCAGAAGAAACAAGGAGGGAGAAGGATCAGAGAAAGCAATCTGTCTACTGCTACATTCCTTAGAAAATGGGAAGGGGAATAACTGGTGTGTAGAAAATGAAATAGAGTGTAGTTCAAAACCAGGAGAAGCACTTATCTATCACATCATACACTGTGTATAAAAGGGGCTGAGAGCTAAGTAATTTTTTTATGTAGGTCAAGTGAAATAACAAACAACACCTCATCATTAAAAGATTATCATGCTGGAAATATGTCTCTAGGTCCTACCACTGTTTGATAAGGGTATGGGATTTCAGAATGGAAAATCAGAGGCACTCTAACCTGAGTCATAAAGTCTTATCTCAATTTAAACTGTCCTTAATTTTCTATGTAATTAAAATATTTTTTAAGTTGTTTTAGACACATTCATCATTTTTGTAGAGATAATATTACATGAATACTTTCATTTCTAGTATATTCCTTAATGCACATTTAACTAGAGCCCTGGTAATCAAGTGGGGTTTAATTACACTTACAGTATTGCTTCTATAAGATTACTGAATTTTATTATAAGAGATTTGAAAATATCTCTCCAGTTTAGTCCCTTGTCTGAGTATAAGATTGTGGTGAAGAATCACTATTTCAAAATGGTGAGCACTCTTTACCAACCTGTTAATGTTAGCACAAAAAAGGTAACTCCTTAAGAAAAAGATATCTCTCCAACTATTTGTGATTAAGTACCACTGACTAGAGACTCTTAAGGATGGAGGTATTTGTTAAACATAAATTTCTAGGTGCCACTTCTTACATACTGGATCAGGATGTCTGAGGACAGAACTCTGGAATTCTCAGTTTATACAAGTAATGATTCTTTTGCCCATTGTAGTTTGAAATCTGCACTGGCAAGGGCTACTCAGTGGGTAGGATTCACTATCCTGTATACACCAGTAGTTTCTAAGTCATTAGCCTGTAGGTAGGGATGTTATATAGCATTTAATTGCACCCCTTCCATCAGTGGAACACTATCACTCAGCTAATACAAGTTCAAGGTTTTTGTTGAAGAATGTGTTGGAAATATCTTGGAGTCCTGAAGTCAGGAAAGTTAGGAAAAAACTTGATGAACTGCTTGAATATATTCTTGAAAGATAAAATTTTATGTTGAGTTAAATTTTTTTTGTTTTTTTTTTAAATATTTATTTATTTATTATATTCTTTCTGCGTGTATGCCTGAAGGCCAGAAGAGGGCACCAGACCTCATTCCAGATGGTTGTGAGCCACCATGTGGTTGCTGGGAATTGAACTCAAGACCTTTGGAAGAGCAGGCAATGCTCTTAACTGCTGAGCCATCTCTCCAGCCCCATAAATATTTCCTTTTTTTTTTTTTTTTGGTTTTTCGAAACAGGGTTTCTCTGTGGTTTTGGAGCCTGTCCTGGAACTAGCTCTTGTAGACCAATCTGGTCTTGAACTCACAGAGATCCGCCTGCTTCTGCCTCCCAAGGCCTGGGAAATATTTCCTATTTTTGAGGCAAATAGAACAACTATAAGGATATTCTTAGACTAAGTCCAATTGAATCAACTGTATGGTTAGGTACTACAAGCCAGGCTAAACACTGGTAAAGGCACAAAGGGCTCAAGGTGCATGCCTCATTGACAAGAGTTTTGTGCAAACACAAACAAACCCATTTTGAAGTGAGACTATTCTATATGTTTATCGTTTGCTTCTGAGAGACTCGCCCTTCTGTGCCTTTCTGCAAGTCTCTTTCAGATTCTCAACAGTCCACTGTGAGAATGCAAACTATTTTGAGAAATATATGTCCTTTTATCCTTTTTTTATGAGTTTAAAAATGACTCCACTAAGGACTACTCAAATAATAAGCAAAAATATAAATTCTGGAAACACAAATTTTAGGAACATTAAAAACATACCCACTAGGAAGAGTTGATTTCAATCAGATGTTTGAGGCTACATTAGAGTGGTTAATGTTGAAGTCATAAACATTTGTATGAGAATGACTATGACTAAATTTGAATACTAAGCAGGTACAAACATTTTCTTGTTGAATGAGAGCAAACTGCTTGAAACTGGAACTATGTACTTAAAGCAAATGAGCACTTAGGAATAGTCTCACTTTAGTTTGAATTCCAAAAGAAAACTTTCCTATTTATCTGCTTTCATTCCGAGTAAACTTGAGGGCAAATCCAGGAGCGAAAGCTCCAACAAATAGTCACAGACTGCTTGCATATAGTGAAGGCCGCTGAGAACAGATGACCAAGCCTAGCAGGGACAACATAGGAGCGTCAGAGAGAATTACTTGGTTTTTAGAAGTTTAGTTAACATACTTATCTGAAGTCTTCATTTTTCTCTAAGTATATAAATATCCAGATTTGAGTTTTTCTTAAAGTATAAGTAATAACTACTTTCATCAACATAAGCATCTGAAGGAATGGACCTGTGACTTGAGCACCCACTTTCTTCTAAAAGGTTGAATTAAGAGTAGAAGCTTTCATTGTTTGCTATTCGGTTATTAGAATGGAAAGCAAGAGGAATTAATTTTTACATGTACATGTTGTGGAGCAAAGATAAAATGAGTGTATGTGTGTTTATGTGTGTCTGTGTATACACAAATGTGATTCCTCCATTATAGTTCATTACTATTTTCTAATATTTTAGTTGAGTGATGCAGAGACAGCTCATATATTTCATCTGACAATATTATTAATAAAATAACCACATTAAACTCTACCAAGACGGCCATTTTCCTGGTGAAGTTTTCTTTCAGAAGTATTAATGGGTGTCTAGTGACTAGATTATGAGATATGAACACACTACAAGAAAAACAAAACTTTTGCAATACGTCCTTGATATGAACAATGTATGTTTTTAATATATGAGAGTTTAAACTTTACTATGAGTTTATGTATTTATAAACCGAAGTAATTAGATCACCTGATGATCAGTGTGAAAGTAATTCAGTGATGAGACTGGACAATATGGTGAAGACATAAGTCACCAAGCACCTTATGATTACGTATGACTTTGCCACAAATGGAAAAAGACCCCAACAAATTGGAATTAACAATATTTAAGTTTCTTTCTAAATCATTTCATTCTATAGGTTCTCTTTTCCTCCTTCTAATCACACTACATTTAAAAAAAAACCCATAAGTACTTTGAAAGGCAGTTTTTTTCTGACCTGAACTTTGAGCCACTTAAGTGATCAGGTAATAAAAATGTTTTTAAAATACTGATTTATTGATTATATTTTTATCTTAGAAGCTACTGAATATGGATGGACATCTTACTTGACTTAAATTCTCCAAACTGAAAATTCTCATAGGATAATAGCTAAGAGAAAGTAGGGGAGCTGGGGTTCTGAAGATAAATTTTGTGTGTCTTCCTTTTATCTCCTTTGGCAAATTTGCTGATCAATTAACTTGAACTTTGCTCAGTAAATGTTAAGGCTGTTGTAAGGATACTTTTACTGCCCATTTTTATTAGGTGCAGTCAGTGGCCAAACTTCCCAATTATTCAAAATATAATCTAAAAATAAATGAACATATCCAAATCAACAATATCTTTGCAAGCAATATCTAATGGATATACCTTATAGGATGGGCTATATTTCTAGGCTCTCCCTGATCACCTCTGTGGTACAAGGTTTGTATTCAGGGCCTCATGAATGGTGAATATGTGGTCTACCTCTGAACTACCTCCGCAGCCCTACTCCACTCTATTCTTCCTCTCGTATTGAAATTTTAAACTATCCTAAAAGTTCTGCCATTATCATATGGAAAGAGCACTATTATTTTTAAAGAATGTCATTCAGTATCAGACCCAGGAGCATATTATTCCAGGAAAGCAAATGAGGGGGGGAAGTGATATAGGAGGGTCACCTGTCTATGTGTTGCTTTCATTGGTTAATAAAAAAACTGCCTTGGCCTTTTGATAGGACAGCCCTTAGGTGGGTGGAGTAGACAGAACAGAATGCTGGGAGGAAGAAAGCAGAGTCAGGCAAGTGCCATGAAGCTCCGGTCCAAGATAGACATGGGTTAGAATCTTTCCTGGTAAACTACCATCTCGTGGTGCTACACGGATTACTAAATATGGGTTAAAGCAAGATGTGAGAATTAGCCAATAAGAGGCTGGAACTAATGGGCCAGGCAGTGTTTAAATGAATACAGTTTCCGTGTAATTATTCTGGGGCTA